TTGAACATAACTTGTTAGTTCTTAGCCATCTGCAAAAAAAAATCATTGAATAAAATATTATTAATAACCCAGAAGTACCAAATGGGCAAGGAAAACCCATCTCCAGTTTCTACATTAGAAGTCTATATTAAGAGTAGCCCAAAAAGGATTGGCAGAAAGCTTACAAAGTATAACATGCAGCTGGAAACAATACATTTTAAATTAAAAGTGATACCAATTGTTGAGCAAGTTCAAATTGACTAATAAAGATGAACAGAACAATCCAGACTAAGATAGATTCTGAAGCTAACTAGGTATATGTCCTTTCTCTTCTTGAAAGCCTTGTGGTACCCCACTGCTCACTTTCTCCATGTTGATGTAGTACCATTAAGGACTATTAATTGAGTATGGCATGTCAGTCAGTTACAAATCCTTCTGGTGATGTTGTCTATCCCACTTTTTTCCAGCTTACCAAGAAGTAGGTTGTGGTTTTCTTTGTTGAATGCCTTACTGAAGACTAAGTATACTATATCCATAGCATTTCGCTGGTCTACTAATTTAGCCACTTTGTCAAAGAATGAAATAAGATTGGTTTGGCATGATCTGTTTTTAACAAACCTGTGCTGGCTTCTAATTATAACTTTGTATCTAGATGTTCACAGAACTGTTTTTTATTATCCTTTCCAGTATCTTCCCAGGATTGATGTTAGGTTGATTGGTCATTATTATATTTTTTTTCAGCCACTTGCCATTGCTTTTTCCAGCACCTTTTAAAATTTCTCAATCTAGCATTCATAGATCTGGAACTATCTGTTGGTCTCTCATCCAAATATTATCTTTGCTTAATTTTTTTGAGATCAGTCATGGTTATTAGATTTTGCCACTTGCTGTGGCTTGGGCTAAGAAAAGGATACTCTTAAATGAGAATCAATACATCTTCATACCAAAAACTGTCAAATCTCAATTAAAGGATCTCAAAGGAATGAAAAGGATATGGAAAAAAGAAATTAAATATAGTAAAGAAAAAGAAAGAATACAGGTAATCCTCAACTTATTTTTGTAATTGAGCCCTGAACCAGAGTCATAAGTTGTTGTGGTCATTATATGTATCACCAAGAGACCAGACCCAATTTTACAACATGTTTTGGATGCTCATTAAGCAATTGCAGCAGTGGTTGTTGAGCTTCCGGTTTGCCACGCGGCTGCCATGGACGCTAGGAAGATGACTCTTGTCTTCCCCGTCCAGTTTTGTATCGCTGGGGGACCCTGAAAAGGGTTGAAAGTCACCCCGTAGAGGCGACCAGCTAGGAGGGGCTCTCGCTGGATCGTGGGAGAGTGGTAGCTCTCCTGGTAGCTCTCCTGCTGAAGCTGGCGATCCCTCCAAATCACCGGATGAAAGACCGGCCATAGAAATATGGCTTGTCACTAGGCTGCAGACAGCCGAAGCCACACTCACCATCTGGCAACTTCAAAGCAGTGTGGAAAGGATTGGGTGAGATCTACCTCTCTTAAATCCTAATTGCTTTTTTGTACCTATTCAAGCTGCTAAAGTACTTTCCCCCCTGTGGAGAGGGAAGGAGGAATTCAGCCCTCCCTCCAGAAACAGTGGCGATTGACTACTCAGGGGAGCTTAAAATGTTGAAAAAATACTGGGATCCTAATTGGAACGCTACTTCTTTAAAATTGATGGATTACAAGATTTGTAATTTTTTATTCTTTATTTTTCTCTGATTTTTATTCGCTATTTTTACTGAAGATATGGGTTTTTTCTTTTAAAATAGAAGAAAAAAACTGAAAANGCGACATCACTCAAACTCGCGACATCACGTGACATCGTGCAACGTATCGGAGCTTTTTTGCCATTGCCGGCAATGGGGTGGGCGCAGCTCTGGTATGATGAAACCGGCCCACAGGCCAGCAGTTTGACACCCCTGGCTTAGAAAATAGATAAGATATAAGCAACCTTGAAACATCAGCTGCAAGAAACTCAGCTCTGCTCTTCATTTAGTGGACCTTTTGACTACAAGCTTTCAATTTAATATACTACAATGGAAGAAGAATAGGAATGGACTTTTCCTACAGAGGAAGAACAGGAACAAACTCTTTGCATGTTAAAAGCGATTGTCCAAACTTTACTTACAATTGGTGAGGAAATAAGAAAAGGCAGGAAAAAACAAGAAAGCAGCCTGGATATGCAAACTCAGATTATGACTTCAACTAAAGAATCATCTATACAGAATTCTACAGAGAAAGTGGAACAATCAAATGCTATGATAGAAGATTCAACCACTCAACAAATACAGATAATGGAAGATACAGAAAAGAAATTGATAATAGAGAAAAAGGAAATGACTTTGTTATGAATCAGAAGGAACCTGAAGATCAAAAAGAAAAACAGATGAAAGAGAAGATAAACACTTTGGGACAACCACGTCGAGATGGAAAAACAAGGAGACGATCTATTAGATCAGCTAGTCCTCTTAAAAAAAAAGGCAATTGGATGGTCTTTTCAATATCAAACAATAGCCACAACAACACAAGGAGATCTGCTTGATGATTTAAAAGCAAAGACACGAAAGATGATTTGGCAAAGAAAGCAAGCTAGAATAAGACTGAAAAGGACTGGGGTTCTGATTTATACATGAGATTTAAAATAGAATATACCCAAATAGATAAAACATATATTCTGAATAAAAGATATTGTAACGATTTGAGATAAAGAAAACTTTGGTTATGTAGCATCAAGAAGTATTAATATTAAAATATGAATATTATATTGTTTTATTAATTCGTTAAGGCAGATGGTAAGAATCTATATATAAGGTGTGTATCTTAAACATTAGATTGCGTGAGGAATTGTGATAAAGGAATTGTGGTTAATTAAAAAACTGGAAAAATAAATATTAAGCATTAAATTTAAATATTAAGGGAAAACTAAAACAGGGAAAAGCTTATTAGGTCACTGATTGGCTAAAAGATTGAATGTTTAAAAACAATTTAAGATTTGAATTCAAGACATTATTATGAGTCAAGACAAAGAAAAATTTTGGTTAAGTAAAAGTTAGAAGTAAAATACTAATAATTAAATCTGTATATTGGTTTGTGCTATAAATACTAATAGGTTAAAAATTATTAGTCTCAAATATGAGATACGAGACATAAAGAGGAAAAAAAGGAGGAAATACTAAATGTGCAAATATAAGAAATCTTGGCTATTAAATTTGAGATTCTAAGATACTGGAGAATTACTAAATAAGAATATTGCTTAGTATTATTAATTGGTTGATGCAGACGGTGAGAATCATGTATAGATCAGAGGCGTATCTGAAACTTTAGACTGTGGAGGAACCGTGATAGAAATTGGGGTCATTTAAAATTTGGAAATGAAAAAGATTAAACGTTAAATTTAAAACATTAATAGAAAATTAAAATTAAGAAAAATTTATTAGGTCATTGGCTGTCTAAAAGATGAAATGTTAAATTAATTAAGATATATATAAACTGAAGATTATTGATGAATGCTAGAAAATTATTTTCTGTTTGATTGATAGAATAAGAGTTATGTTGGTTTGAATATGAGACAGTATACATTAAGGGGGAAAGAGAGGGAATTAGTTGTCGTAATACTTTGAGATTTGTATTGATGATATTTAAATGTAATGGAATTATTATACTCAGCTGCCACATTGCTTTTCAAATATGCAAATGTAATATTAGAAAATTAATTAAAAAAATTAAAAAAAGAAAAAGAAACAATGTGGTTGTTGAGCAAATCCATTTTACTTAATGGGTGCTTTTTATTAAAAACTGGAAATAAACATATTGACAAAAATAACAAAATGACAAAAATCACGGTGATGTGACCGTGGGACGTGGAAAACAGCCATCAAGGTGAGCCAATTGCCAAGGGCCCAAAATGTGATCATGTAACTGTTTGAGGATGGTACAGCCACTGTGATTTTGAAATTCCATTGTAAGCAGCTTTTGGATGTCCATTGTAATTTTGAACTGTTGCTAAGTAACTGTAAATTGAAGACTACCTGCGGAGATCAAATAACTTTAGTTGTTTACTAAGTTAAATAACTTTAGTTAATTATTTGGATTGCAATTCCCAGAAATATTTTACATCAGATTCAGGGAATGCGTACAGTTGCTATGTGGCTAGGAGAGGCCAAAAATTGGAGTAGTAATCAATAAAAACTGTGTTTTCCCCTTATTATTCCAACACATCGGCAATTCCAGCCTGTGCAATGGTTGTAATGCTAAATCAGCCTTCTCGAGAGACAGTTCCATCAGCAAAGTTAAAGAGTTTGGCAGCATAAATATGAAGCTACTGGCATATCTCGAAATGGTGAGGGTACCTGCCCTCTCTTTCCTCCCCAAAAAATCTGTATACCTGTAAAATAGTGAAGTGTAAAGTTAAATGTAAGGCGTTTTTTACATTCTGGATGTAAAAGTGACATATACTTTATTTAATGCATCCTTCACAATCCTAAACAAGTTAAAATATCCATCTGCTAGAAGAAAGAACAAAACTATTGAATCTGCCTATGTTGCTGATATCCAGGTGTGATAAACATGCTTGTGAGGAGATACATAGTAGATCAGGCATGTGCCAATTTGGACAAAAGCTGATTTCTCAGAAAATAAGTCAATCAAGCTGTGGTCATTTAAGTTCTGAATAATTATTCTTCTTTTTCTATTTTCTACCCACTGAAATCATTGGGCTGAGATAATCAAAACAAGAGGCACCCTGGAACAATTTCTAAAGACCAACAATTTATCAGTGATCAACTTTTTCTGGGCAAGCTTCTTAACCAAATAAAAATATTATCCCATGGTGTAAGAGCTCTCTGTCCACCCCTCAAATATTGCCAGAAAATCTCAGAGAAAAAAATAAGCCTAGAGAAGTCAGAACTGTTTGCAGAAGCTTTGGTGGTTTCAGCAAGCCAAAATTTCCATAAAGAGAAATGTTCCTGCTTTTTCCAGTTAGTGGTTTTATCCTCTAGTGCCGTGGTGGCGAACCTATGGCACGCATGCCACAGGTGGC